GAGGTGGTATCACTACAGAAGTAGATTGCCCAACCTTCCTTCCGAGGAGTGGCTGGTGGGTTTGAACCTCCAACCTTCCGGTTAGCAGTCAAATGTCTTAGGTGCTATCCCACCAGAGCTCCTACAACTAGGTTAAGTGACTTCTAAATCTCCCTCCTACTAGACACAAGACCGCAGCTAAACCACATCCCAGCCAGATAAAAAGGCTTCTTAAACCTAATGAACCAAAGAAGATTCGGTTCTTTCTTGATTTCTCTTTCTAGGATTTAGCATCCTCCACTGTCAAGAGTTCTGGTGGCATAGTGCCTAAGGCATTTGACTGCTAACCAGAAGGCTGGTGGTTCAAACCCTTCAGCCACTACTCAGAAGAAAGATAGGGCAATCTACTTCCATAGTGATACTGCCTCGAAAACCCAAGGAGGAGTCAGTATGAGTTGGAACCCACTCAATGGCAGTGAGTTTGGTTTTTTTTGGTTTTACTGGCAAAAGAGCCTTCCTGAATGCAGCTGCATAATTCTGGGTGAGTAAGTGCATGCATGCTCACCTTTGGGATGAAACAAAATCAAACCCACTGCCATAGAATTGATTCTGATGCATAAAGACCCCCACTGGGTTTCCAAAGCTGTGAATCTTTACAGAGTAGATTGTCTCATCTTCCTCCCATGCAGCAGATGGTAGGTTTGAACCACCGACCTTCTGGTTAGCAGCCAAATGCCTTACCCACTATGCCACCAGAGCTCTTTTGGGATGATTTACATAATATAGAATCATTTATTTTCTGAGGGCTGAGAACAAAGTTTATATGTGCCAGGCCCTACGCTGGCTTGGGACTTCACCCAAAGTTCTTAGCTGAAGACCACTCTGCCTCTGGGGCAAGAGGACACATCATTCTTTTAAGGCAAGGATCACACCCTGCCCCTGCCAGAGCAGCTATCTCCCACTCACAGTTCCTGTGGTAGTTATGTTTTTGTGTCAAATTGGCCGGGCCTGGTTGAGTGGCTGGGCAGCTGGATGTAGTATTCCCCCTGATGAGACTGGTAATCAACTCCATGGTAGAATCTACTGTGAGCAGCTGAATAGCTGCCTTAGGGAATGTGGTCTGCTTCCTGTATTTAAGTAGCAGCCTTGGGAAATGGTCTCTAGCCTATGGCACACTTGGACCCTGCATGTAGCCATGTCGTTGCTCAGCAGCCTGCTATGCTCTGTCAACCTTAGGACTTACAATGGACTTAAGTTAATGGCCTGCCGTGTGGTTTAGTAACATCGGGACAGTGCCTTTTTACTTGTCAACCTTCGGGGTTCTCAGCCTCAGCAGCCTGCAGCTGTCTGAAGAAATGCCTCTAGCTCCAGTGGGCTAGGAGCAGGAGGCAGAGCTAGAACCCAAGGTTGAGGGGCTTTCACCCAGCCCCTAGAGCCTGGCACTTTGAACTTGAACTTAAAGCCTCCAAATTGTAAGAATAAACTCCTGTTTGTTAAGGTCATCGCATTTATGGTATATATTCCTGTCAGAGCGGCACTAGGTAACCAGAACAGTTCCCCTGTCCTCCTCCCCACCCCAGCAGAACACTTGGGTCATTAAAGTAAGTCATCTCCCAGGCAGGCCCCAGGTTGGGGAAATTGTGAAGAATAAGCCTCAGCAAGGCCAAAGCCAGTGGGAAACACCAGTGTTCTTGAACAACACCCAGTTTCCGTACTGCTCCCATCTAGCCACTAGTGCCCCTCGCATTTTATTTTTCTACTTTTGTGCTACACTAAGATAAAATCAGAAACTTTGGAGCTCATAGGAGTCTTGGAGATAACCAAGTCAGACTCCCTATTTTTACAGTGGAGGGGCCTCTCATCCAGATAGTGCAGGAGCTTGCCCAAGGGTAGGGTCTTACCTGCCTTTGCAAATCTGAACCGCTACTTGAGCTTCCCAGCTAAAGAATCAAGAGCAGAGGCTCCAACCATAGCCCAGGTAACCCAGGTCTCAAACCTCTATTACCTTACGGGAAACAGACCCCATCTCCTCCACTCTCACCCATAACCAGACCTGCGAGGCCCACCAATCCGGGCCCAGCCCTACCTGTCCCGCAGGTGGCCGCTGCGCAGCCCCAGGGCAGTGCACTCGGCTTCGCTCACCGACACCCCTTTGCAGGACTTAATAGGGTAGATCCAGAGCTGGGCCACGGTGCCCACCTGCTGCAGCCGCCTACGCCGCCTGAGTCTCGCGCGGCGCCAGCCCACGGCTCCCAGAGCCAGGGCGGCCAAACCCAGAGCTGCAACCCCAAGCCATCCGGGCCGGGACTGTGGAAGGAGACGAGGCGCAGGGAGGCCGAGGAAAGCCGACGAGCCGGCGGCGCCCATGGCTGAGGGCAGCCGGACGCAGGCCTCAGCACAGGCAAAGCAGTGACTGGAGCCAAAAAGAATGCAGAAGCGCGTAAGGGTCCAGGCGGGAGGGAGGAGCCAAAGCTGGCTAGGCGACCCGTCACCGTTTCTCTGCTGAGGTGGCAGGACGCCTTACACACAGGAAGGGAGAACCTAAAGGAAGTTCGAGGGGCAACTCTGTAATAGGGGAAAGGGACGCAGAGAGCAGGCTGGGGTTTCTGGGCACTGAGGGGCTATCTGCTCGGTTCAAAGCAATCAGGCTAACTGTCCTTTACTTCTCTACCTTCCCTGGCCCCTGCACCGGAACAGTTCCCCATGCAATATAACCCCTATCTGCCTTTTCACCCCTCATTTCTCCAATCCCCCCTTCTCTTCTAATAACTCACGCTTGTTGCTCGACCAGAACACACAGAACCTTGCAGGTGGGTTGCAGAATCGAAGACTTCAAAAACATTTGGGAGCTAGTCTTCTGGCCAATCACTTCACCCAAGCTATTTTGGGAACAGTTTTTCTTAGACATACAAGGTTAAGAGTCAAGGTTGTTTGTTTGTTTTTCAGCAGATTGTTTCTTAAATTATGGCACAGTAAAGGTAAGGAGGCAGCCAGTGGACCATCTCCCAAATCCAGATTAGTCACCGTCTGCAGAACAGGCCCACCCTAGCAGTGTATGGGAAGAGAAGAGGCTCAGAGTATGGAAGGAGAACCAGAACAGAGGTACTTTTGCACCTTGAGTGTGAAAAGTGAGTCACACCTGGGCCTGAATATTCTTCAAAGCAGATCCTGTTTATAATCCCAGGCCTGGTGAACTCAAGCTCTTCAAAAACCACACACACACACACACACACACACTCACATCATACTCAGTAGCCAACACATACTGGGTTTGTTTGTTTGTGTTTTTTTAAGATTACTTTATTTTTGTTGTTATTGTTGAGAAGTTACCAGCAGAACATACACCAATTCAACAATTTCTACGTGTGCAATTCAGTGATTTATTAGTGCTGTTGTGTGCCTTTAATTTGATTCTGATTCATAGCTGACCCTCTATGAGAGAAGAGAACTGCCCCATATGTTTTCTAGGCTGTAATTTTTACAGACACAGTGGCTGCATCAATCACTCAAACAGAACAACGATTGTGAGGGTGGCCATGGCAGGCAGTGTTCTGTTCTGTTGTACATAGGGCCACTATGAGTCGGAAGTGACTGGAGGGCACCTAACAATAATAATCTTTATGGAAGCAGACTGTCACAACTTTCTCCCATGGAGAGGCTGGTGAGTTTGAACCACCAATCATTCAGTTACAAGGTGAGTACTTAACCACTGTGCCATCTGGGCTCTTGTGATGATTAGTTACGTTCTTCAAGTTGTGGAACCATTTTCACCCTCCTTTTCTGAATTTTTCCTCTTCCATTAACATGAACTCCCCGCCCTCCTGCCTACTCTTTCAAGTTCCTGTTGTCAATTTGATCCGATATAGATAGTTCCTCAAAAGATCACCATATTGGGGGCAGATATTTATTGTTTACTAAATAAGCTAAATTATTGTTTGGTTTAAAGAAGACTTGGAAGATATTTTTGGTTTAAACTTTGAACCATGGCTTCTTGAATGATGTGTGTGTACCTGATTCATTTTGTACCTCAGTGCTCTTGAGGAGGGTCAGGGGCTTCCTCCCCACACACCTGCTAACAAAGTGAGATGCTTGTAAGTTGATCTCTCTTACTGGACATAGGCTCCCAGACAAGGAAAATGTCTCATTTATTGATCATATTTATATCCTTCAATAAATATTTCTTGATTATCCACCAGGTTTCTCCTATGTTGGAGCTGTAAAATTGAGAAAGGAGCTCTAGTAGTGTAGTGCCTAAAGCACTTGACTGCTAACCAGAAGGCTGGTGGTTCATACCCACCAGCCACTCCTTGGAAGGAAGGTTGGGCAATCTACTTCCATAGAGATACCACCTCAGAAACCCAAGGAGGGGTCACTATAGGTCAGATCTGACTCTATGGCAGTGAGTTTGGTTTGGTTTTGGTTAAAGCTGAGAAACTGGTCTCCATCAAGGAGTTTACAGAGTAGTGGGGGGACTTAGGCTACAGAGTAACATCAGAGAAGATGTGTTCAAGAGGCAGTAGAAGTAGAGATAAAAGAGAAGCCAAATCTCAAGATAGTTGGTTTTCAGAGGAGGGAGCTTTTGAGTTGAGACTTAAAGCTGAGGAGAGATTGGGGGGCAGAAGAGGGGATTCTAGGAAAAAGGAACAGCACATGTTCTGGAGAAATTGAAGAAATAAGAGGATGTGGCAATTCAATTTTGTTAGAATGTAACCATGCTTGGAGCAAGTGCAGGAGTTGAGGCAGAACAGGTGGATAGGGACCAGGTAAAAAAAGAGCCTTGCCTCCACTTAATTGGGAAGACAATTTGGAGACACTATGGAATTGTGCACAGCAGTGAGGCGTGATCAGACTTGTGTGTGTTAGGAAGGTCACTCTGGCTGCTCTGGGAAGGAAAACACAAAAGGTGGTGAGATAAGAGGTGAATCCCCTACTGCAGGCTGGGGATGAAGTGGTCCTAGATCAGAGGGAAATGGTAGTGGGGATGGAGATGGGCATGAACAGGAGAGATCAGAAGACAGCGGGGTGGTGATGGATGGGACACTGAGGTACAGGGAGAGAAATGATCCCTTTCATTTTACTTCTCCACTTCCTGATCTCCTATAATGCAATAGTCCCCCAAGCAACAAATAAACCCTCATCTGTTTGTGCATCCCAAGTCTCTCTAGTCTCTTGTCTTCTAGTATAGCAAACTTAGTTGCCTGATGGAGGGCTTCTCCCTCTTCCTCCTCCTCTCCCTCTTGGTAGACAACCTGGTCTATTTCACAGAGCAATAGAGGACATCAGAAATGACTTCCTCACCCTCTGCTCCCAAACGTACAAACTTCCATGCAACCTTCTCCTTTTGGTCCTGTTGGGTGGGGGAGATGTCCCTCCTGCTGGCTGGGGCTCATCCATCCTTCTGAGCCCTGGGTCCCATTTCTGCCCCCAAAGATTTGCTGTCTCATCAGTCAACACACCATAGCTTTTCTCTACAGTCTCTTCAACCTCTTCCTCTCTACTGACTTAGTTTCTGTCAGCCTTTAAATATACTATTTTCTACCTTTAAAAAATCACTTCTTCCAGGACAAGAACAGATATATGAACCCCCATGTTCATCACAGCACTATTTACAATAGCCAAAAGATGGAAACAACCTAGGTGTCTGTCAACAGAAGAATGGATAACCAAACTATGGTACATACACACAATGGAATATTATGCAACCCTAAAGAATAATGTAGAATCTGCAAAACACTGCATAACATGGATGAACTTGGAGGACATTATGCTGAATGAAATAAGTCAATCACATAAGGACAAATATTGTATTAGTCCATTACTGTAAAAAGTCAAGTAAAAGTTTATATA